TTGCTGTAGGCCAGCAGGACTAGAGAAATCTCCAACTACAGTACACTGTGTGGTCCAGTTAGCTGGTGACTAAATGGAATCCTAGTTCCCAGAATTGAAGTTGTTATCATGCCAGATGTGACCATGCCAAACATGGCATAACAAGTTATGGTAGGACTAGGCACAAACCCTCATATCAGGGCCAGATGAGGCAACCTGGTAAGAGGAAAGAGGTCCCAAGAGCAGGCAAAAGTGTCAAAAGAGACACCTCCACTCCCACTGTTAGGAGTCCCACAAGAACAACAAACTACTCCAACCATAACCTAGTGCAGACCCATGCAAGCTCCAGGATTGTTGCTTCCGTCTCTGTGAGCCCTTATGAGCCTTGCTTAGTTGACTGTGTGGGCTGTGTTCTCAATGGTGTCCTCAACCCCTCTTGACTCCTACAATCCTTCCTCCCACTCTTCCACAGGGTTCCCCAAGCTCTGCCTAATGTTTGACTATGGATCTCTGCATCTGCTCCGATTAGTTGCTGGATGAAGCCTCTCTGATGCTGATTGGGCTAGGCACTGATCTATGAGCATAGCAGAATATCATTAGGAATCATTTCATTGACATTTTTTTTTTTTGCACAATTGTGTGTGGTTCTGAGCTATCCAGCCTCTGGATCCTGTACATTCCTCTCATAGGATGGGCCTCACATTGGACCAGTCATTGGTTGGTCACTCCCACGAGTTCTGCACCACCATTAACCCAGTACATCCTGCAGGCAGGACAAACTATAGGTCCAAGGTTTTGTGGCTAGGTTGGTGTCTCAGTTCCACCACTGGAAGGAAGCCTTACCTGGTTACAGAAGATGACCAGTTCAGGCTCTGTATCCCCCATTACTAGTAGTCTTTTCTAGGGTCACCCTCATAGATTCGGGAAGTTTACACTGCACTAGGTTTCTAAATGTCCCCCCAAATGCCCACCAAAAACAATTTTTTAAAGATAGAGAAACTAGGCCTTCATGAAGAAAGTAGATCATTAAGTTTTAAATGCTAGACATGCTGATGACAAGAACCAACTCTAGATCCTCTTAGGCAGACAGAATATGAGGTGATGCCTCTGTTTGTAAATTTTTCCTAGTATGTTCTTCTAGAACCATAGAAACCATGTCACATACTTTGATTTTCATTCTTCTGGTACCTAATATTATCCTGAAAGTAAAGTAAAATCTTTTAATTGATGAGAGCTATTTTAACTGATCGACTGTAGAGGGCTTCTCCTTCATGTGAAATAAATACAATGACAACATCAGAGTAATAATTTTCAAAAAGCAAAATTAAACAATTATTTTTAACTAGGTGCCAGGAAAGATGTGTGGATAATAAATGAGTTTGCTCTGCTGCTTCTGCAGATAGATATTAATGTGGCATGGAGTGTTTCATCAGTTACATGAGCCCGCATCAGCCTGACAATGACATTGTAGAAGTTTTTAGTCCTTTCAAAGTGGTGATTATGGAACCACATGTATCATCATTTAGAAATAACTCTTCTTCATGGATTAAAGCACAACTGTTACCAGCAATCATAACAACTCAGGTTCACGGCCATAGAATGAGTGGACTGAGCAGTTGCTGGCTGTCTCACACATGAAATGCAGTAGCCATCAATCTGCATCCAGCATCCAAACAGCACACACCCACTACAAATGCTTCTTGGAACCATACCATCTGTGAGCCATCGTTAATCTGGATGACTAGCACACTGATCAACCAAAATTCAAAAACAAAATGCTTAATATGCTCAATATGATTTAAGACATATAAACATTATAGTCATAAACAAGAAGAATTTCCCCAAAAGAAATACTATAAATCTTACAGTTATCTTAGAAAACAAAAGAGTTCATGCTATAGCCCACACTGCCATAGAACCATGGGATTGTGATGCCGTGGGAACTTGGGAAAACATGTGTACCCTTCTATATCTTTTTTGGTAAGGATTCCTTCAAGTGGATCCAGACACAAATGAAAAATATGTTAGAAAGCCTTAAGGAGCTTCTAGATTTTTTTTGTTAAGTTATAATATATAGTTACACAATGCGTAAATATTTTCCCTATGTATAGCATTTCCCCCAAACTATATAACATATATTCTAACACAGTTATAACATATAATTATACAATACATAAGTATTTTCCTATGTATACTTTCTTCCTCAAAATTTAACAGAAAACTGGGGATTGTAGTTGTTGAACACAAATGGAACTTAAAATACAGAGGTACTTGAAGACCATAGATTATTTTTCTCCCATATAGTGGTGGCAGGTGTCCATTGTTGATAATGATGAGTTGTTTTCACACGAAGAACCTCATCGTAGTTTATAACCAAGCTCTCATAGGCTACCATCTCAATACAAGTTATCAAACCTTGTGATTTTTTTAAATTATTGTTTTATTTTATGGGCCTGTATTTCTGTGTACTACAAGCATGCCTGGTACCTGCAGAGGCCAGAAAAGTGTATTGGACCTGCTGGAGCTGGAGTTACAGATAGTTGTGAGCTACCATAGAGATTCTGGGAGTCGAACCCAGGACCTAGATGAACAGTCAGTGCTCTTAATTACCAAACTATCTCTCTAGCCCAACCCTTGCAACCTTAATGCTAATAACCCAGGGTATATCAAGGTAACATGTGAGTGAGGTTTACCACAGGCTTCCCTGGAAAGCAATTTCCTTTGCCTTCCCCTTCTAGTAACAGGCAGAGCTTTTGCCAAATTTCACAGTAAAAGAGTCACAAACATTAAATAAGGGAGCTCTGTTTTAGGTTCCTTGTCTGAGGGTGACTGTAAAGATGTAGAAAATGTTCAAATTAAAACAGTGTAAATAGTCTAGACACTGCCCATTCCACCAGGAATGAAGGTATTTCACTGAGGAGTCATCCAAAGCATAAGCTGAGATGATATCCACACACCATGCAGATACATTTAAATAACATTTTCAGTCACGCTAAAGATCATCTTGGTATACCATGTGAGCTATTGAGGTGCCTCTGTAAATTTTGGGTAACTTTGTGTCTATATCAATTATGGAGTCATTTCCCCAGGCCAAAGTTTTATTAATGCTTTGAAGAAGTATGAAACAGTAGTATAGGCGTTCCTTTGAGGTCATCGTTTTATTCCTCCTCTCTGGGGATGAAGAGAAAATGCTTTCTGTAAGTTTTCTCTTCTACTTGAAACCCTTCCCCTTCCCTTCCCCTGTTTGCCTCTTCTCTTCTGTGACTAATAAATGAAGCCGATGTTTGCTGCAATTCGAGGAAGGGGGGCAATGGAAAGTTCTTAAAGTTCTTCATGACATCTGCTCCCCTGCACACTGCACCTGCATCTAGACCAGTCCCCGGCAGAGGGTTTCATGTTGCCTGTCTCCCTCCCATATTCACTTTGCTCTCACATTTGTACAAATGACAACTCCATGACAGATCCCACTACGGCACATCTCATATCATTACACCACTGTCAGCAGGCATTCCAGCTGTCAGTGTGTTATCAAATTCTAACGGAAAGGAATAGATTTTATGTAGTTCATGTCTCTTCATTCTTTATAGAGCACTTGCCTCCCAGATTTTAAATCTCATGTGATTCACAAATTAAGCAGATATTCATACTAGAAATTTCATGCTTTTAAGGTTATAAAATTTAGGAATCCTGTGTTATTTCAATTTGATTCCTTCATTATTCATTACCACTCAAATAGTCAATTTAGTATTATAGCAAAATGGGCATGGCTGTCAGCATCAGAGAATCCTGAGTTTGTAGTCAGACTATTACTTAATAAATAGAATCTTCTTGGGTAGACAACTATTATTTCTTCAGAACTTCATCCTCTACTCCAGTGGTTCTCAACCTGTGGGTCACTACCCCTTTGGGGGGTCACATATCAGATATCCTGCATATCAAATATTTATATTATCATTCATTACAGCAGCAAAGTTATGGTAATGAAGTAACTATGGCTGGGGGTCACCACACCATGCAGAACTGTATTAAAGGGTCACAGCATTAGGAAGGTTGAGAACCCCTAGTGTAGAGGCTGATGATTTATGGCACCTGAGGAGTGAGGAGGAACTGAAAGGGCATGTGTCCTCTGCTTAGCACCCTAGTAACCCCCACATCCCTTCTTGGCACTGTAGATATCTTTAGGATAATGATTATTTATTTTATCTCTGTATTAACAATAAATCAATGAACAGATGTGTAAGTGAATATAAACATCCAACTAGTGTTCAAAGTTTGTCTAAACATAACCCATACCAACTCACACATTAGAGTTTCAAGTGAGACAAGCACCGTCACCTGAATGAAGCCAGCTGGGTGACAGCAAAGCCGTCCCACAATCCATTGTCCATCCAGGGCAACAGCACCGTTTCATACACTGGACCTGTTTCGGAAAACACCAGAATTTCCCCACAATCCAAGAAATGCTCGCATCCAGAATTGCATTATTCTGTCTTCCTTGTTCCTCTAATGCTATAACATAAAATATCTAGAGAGGAAAATGTAAAAAATCTCAACAAAGAACACTCTGCCTCATCCTCATCCCCCAAACCCAGCATATCAAGGCAGAAACCTTAAAGGAATTAACTAGAAGGCGACTCAAACATCCTGTGGAAGAATCCTTATCTCAGCTCCCCGAGCATTAGCTGAAAAATGTGCAAAACAGGAAGGGGAAGATGGGAGGGTGACCAGCATGCCCCAATTATTGTCTTGAATATGATATTTTTCTGACAGACAGGACTTGTTTTTTTAAATAAGCAATTTATGGATAGTTTCAGTATTTCAACCTGTGACTTCATCCTATTCCTGGCTGGAAGCTCCTCTGTCAAGTGGATGATTGACATTTATTGCACAGTATACTAGAATTCACTTAACAAAACTGTTGCTGGGAACACATACTTCAGTGGACCTTTGGTGAGCAAGAGATGCCAGTTTCACCATAGACTTTAAACAGCAAAGGAACAAAAGCTAGGTCTCTGCAGCAGTGAAGGCACGTTTGTTTATTTGGTGGGTTTTTTGTTGTTGTTTGTGTTTTGTTTGTTGTTTCCCTTGCAGTAGTGACACATCAAAGGCAAAATTAAACTGGTCCACTCTTACTTTTTGTAAAAGATCTCCCCATCCTGTGGAAAATGACATTTTAGTTCTGTGAAAACTACAGCAGAGCCTGGTCACGTTGTCCACGTCAAGTTCTCTCAGAATTTCCAGCATCTTGACGTCCTTGGAGCTGAGCTACTCTTTCCACATAGCTAACACACTGTGCCTGACAGCAATCTTCCAGTTGGTTAACACAAGCAAGGATCCAAGCTTTGCTGTGAGGCAGCCTGTAGATTGTTAAAAAAAAAAATCCATTAAGCCAGATGGTGGAAATACAGAGTACTCTATTTGGAAACCTAGGTTATAAATATGTACATGCTGGGTAAAGGGCAAAGACTTGAGGTAACCCAGCTGATGTCACCTTTCAGCTGGGCTCCAGTCTTGAGAATCTCTGGACTGATGCACATCCATGTATTTACCCCATTTTACATTTACCCTGTCTGGATCGGGACAAAACAGTAATGCTGGATATTTTCCCACAGTGAAAACTAACTTGAATACTGACTTAGGAGATTTAGTTGGTGTTTTATCTGTGTTGGTGTGGGGACGGTGGTGGCAAGGTAGGGACTGGAGTACAGTATACTTACTGTTACTCAACCTTCTCAGTCACTGGCCATTCATATTATAGATACATAGAGATTCTATATGGATATAGAAACACATGCATACATATAGAAATTTCTTTATCCTGTTGTATGTGTCAAGCAAAATAATGTTAAAATGAAAGTGTAGAGATGATCTAAAAACTATAGCTGTATACACTGGGGTGGCAGAGGGGTGGGTGGGAATGCATGGGAGGAAAAGCAAACCTTTACTGTTGAACATATATATGTGTGCACATACTTCATGGAAGAAGAATAACACAAAACCAGTGCATCCATGTGAGTAGGAAGGACTTCTCTTGGTCTAGTGTTAACATAGTATTTTTCTTCTTCAGTGTCCTTCAAGAATTGCAGCAATGTTGTAGCTCTATTTACATGTTGTGCATTTTAAGCGCTGCAGACAGAAAAAAATGATATAGCCTATGTCCTTTAGACGTATGCTGTCAAACTAGCATGATGTTGTAGCATGTGTGCCTGAATACCTTAGAGTCTTGCTCTGGCTTCCCTAATGACAGATGAAGCCCGTGTGCCACAGTGAAAGGCATACAAGCGCACTAGGGAAGTGGTGGGGATGCCACCCGTATGGGCGTCTTCTTCACTTCTCAGGTTCCTGGGACCTCACCTATTGTGTATGGAAAGACAAGACCAAACGTCCACTCATTCCACACAGGAATGAGCATGGCTGAGGAGTTACTCAAAGTCTGCTGCATCATCAAAAGCTCACCCAGCATGGCTGAGGAGTCACGGAGGCTGTGCCTGGGGAAATCTCTGTACATCACAGACAGCTCAGCCAGTGGGAGTCTCTGCTCAGAAATGGTTACTTACTGCTTTTAACTTGTGTGTGTGTGTGTGTGTATGTGTGTGTGTGTGTGTGTGTGTGTACCTTCTAAGGTTCCACTTCCTGAGACTTGGGTTTTGTTTACAAATGTTTCAATGTAGAGGACATCACTATGCAACATCTCCCTAGTACTCTTCAGTAGCCCTTGGCTGCTTCCCATGAGGTGATTCTCCGTTCTTCGCTCTGGGCCCTCTACCACTGCCTGACACTGGTAGCTGTGGCTGCATTCCTGGATTCCTCTCATGACCACAGAAACACTAGTACAATATCACTGCATTTACTTCTACAGATGCTGCCTGGAGATGAGAAGGGAATTAATTTCCCACTTGCGTTTCAGCCTCTATTGTTGAAGCACAAATATTAGAATTGTACTCTCAACCTCTTCTAGTGTTCCCGTAAGCATTTACATCTTTCAGCTTGTTATATATCTCATTAGTTTTCTTGCCATTATCTCAAATGCTGAAAGGTTACTTAGGGACAAAACCCAAGAGACAAGGTCATGGTTGTGGCCCCACTATTTGAAACTGGCCACAGTCTGATTTTCCTGTCCTATATGACACAATTTCACAGAGTTATATGGTTTTCTGGAATATTCTCGGGGACTAAGCCATAAGTTTCAAGATTATGGCCATAAAATTCTGCATAGTCTGAAGTGCTCAATTTTCAAGTAATTTTAGAATTTAGGCTGCAGCTTTTACATATACTCTTTCTATGTAAATTATACTTAAAATGTTTCATGTTGTTATTTAGGGTTCCCTATGATGGAAAAAATGTTCAGCCCTGTATAAGTTTAGAGCACAAATTAATTATTTATATTGGTAAATAATAAATGTTATGCACATTAACTGGAAAAAATGAGGTAGTGTTGTAATTTAAATGTGTTTACAAAGCCTATTTTTCTCAAATGTCAAAAAAAGAATGATTCCAAACAGCAGCATTAAGTCCCTGTGAGACTCTCCAGAGTATTTCTTAAAAGATTTTATAGATACTCAAGACCCACAGCCAGTAGGCTCTGGATTGCCCTGATTCACAGGGCAGAAAAAAGAATCTTGCTCAAAGTTTTATCCACCTTAAATTCCTCGACTGAAGTCCCTCTCTTGGTGTGACTGACTTGAAGACAGAGAGTCCTTTAAGAAGTGGTTCATATCAAATGAGGCCATAAGGATGGGGCCTTGTCAGAATAAGATGACACTCCAAGAAATTGTATGAGTTGAATCATACCCCCAACCCCTGTCCTTCACCCTCTACCCCGCTTCCCTCTGAGTGCCACAGAAAGTAGCTCATGAGTCCTCATCTAAACAGATTAAATGTCAGTCATCTACACCTGGGAGAGAGACTGTGGCAGAAACCGGCCTTAAAAAAAAAAAAAAAAAAACTCGATCTTAGACCCCTCAGTCCCCCAAATGGATAGAAAATAGCTTTCTCTTATTCAAGTTTGAATCTGGATAGTCTCGTACAGTCTCCCATCTGAATGCTCAGTTCACAGCTTGCGACACTGTTTTGAAGGTTGTATGGCCTTTAGGATACAGAGCCTAGCACACAGAATTAAATCATGAGGTGGATCTTTGATAGTTCTATCTGTCCCAGGGTCCTGTCTGCTGCCATGTGAACAAGCCACTACCTCCTGCTCTTGTCACTGCTGACAGATCCTCTTCATCATGCTTTCTCTACTATGACATACTGAAACCCTGAGCCAAAGCAAGTCTTTCCTCCTGGGTTAGGGAATTGAGTCTCGACAGAACGCTTGTCTAGCAAGTACAAGACCTTGGATTAAGTCTTCAGCATCAGAAACAAAACAAACAGAAACATCTTTCCTTCTTCAGGTTACTCTGTCATAGAACGAGAAAGCAATGGATGTGTTTTCCTACACCAGCCAAAGCAGAAAAATGCAAACCTCCTCATCCAACACCTACTTCAACAGGGTTAACAGCAGATCTACATTTCTGTTGTTGGATAAACAGAGCCCCAAACTGACACCCCCAATATATTTCCATCAAGAGCAAAGGAGCATCAATGTAAGGCTCAAGAAAGGAAATGTTTTAGCATGCTTCTCTATTGCTGCAATAAAAACTAATCAAGGCCGAGTGGTGGCACACGCATTTAATCCCAGCACTCGGGAGGCAGAGGCAGGCATATCTTTGTGAGTTCGAGGCCAGACTGGTCTACAGAGTGAGATCCAGGAAATAAGCAAAGCTACACAAAAGAAAACCTGTCTCGAAAAAACAAAACAAAAACAAAACAAAAACAAACAAACAAAAAACCTAATCAAAAGTAACTTGGGGTGAAATAATCTATTTGACTTACAGGTTACAGCCTATAACTGAGTTAAGCCAAGGCAGGAACTTCAGCAGAGAACATGGAGGAATATTGAGTACTGACCTGCCTAGCTTGCTTTCTTCTATATATCAGGACCACCTGCCCAGGGCACGCCTTACCCACACCAAGCTGGTCCCTCACACATCAATCATTAATCAAAAAAATGTTTCCCAGATGCTCACAGGCCAATATAATAGAGGCTGAGATTGTCTTTTCCCAGGTGATTTAGTTTGTGTCAAGCTGACAGCCACTAACCAGCATGGGTAGCATGCGCAAGGGGGTAACTTAGAATATAGCTCATATAATACTGTCATTAAAGGCAATGTGCAGAAGCCTAGAAAGCCAGAAATCCTGGATTAGGGAACAAAAATGTAATTTATCTCATGCAGTAGATTGTGACCACAGAGCCAAATTCAAATCTTTTTTTTTTTTTTTTAATCTGAGAACAGTTTCTTGTTTATAATATGATGCCTGTTCTCTTTCAGTTCGTTTGTAGTTTCAGCTTTGGGATCTGTATGGGGAGTCTGAAGACTGAGCTTTTCTGCTTTCCTTGCATATCTTTACATCCTGTTTTGAAGAAAGACAGAAGTTCTTTGGGCCTTTTCCTACATCAGAGCAGAGGCACCGCTCTGTGACGAGCTTGGCTCTTCTGTGTTCTATATCTTACAGTGAGTCTTTACTATTGGAATTCATGCCTGGATTCTGTAGTTGTTCTTCTGAGCCCCTGGCTGTTTTATTGCTAAGGATGTCCCCATATGGAATGTCTTCTATAATATTTAGTAATGTAATTTTAACTTTTGTATATGAATAAATCACAAATTGTGTTTTTGTATCCATCTCTCATGCACCCAAGAGATTTCTGAATATTTCTAACAGGAATCCCTTGTATAAAGTGGATTCATGTTTTTCCCAAATTGTTCCATTTTATATATTCTAAGAGTGTTTAATGCCTCATCTACTGCCTAATTACCCAAGCTGGATAGAATTCTCAAAGACATCTTGAGATAATTCTAGGTAAGATGGTGGATTAGAAGCCACGATAGTGTGACTGGTGAAAGAAATCAGTCAGGTTTATACACAGTAATCTATCCCTGTAAGACAAATAGCTGTAAATAAATTTATAAAATCATTTGAGATCTCAAGAAGAGCCTTGAATGAGTCCACACCAAGTGGGTGTCTCCTACTGAAATTAGTGGAAATAACCATGGAATTACACACACACACACACACACACACACACACACACACACACACACACACACCCACCACAACAGTGATATAGGAAGAATTGTGTGGAATAACTGACGAGAACAAGAGACAGAATCTGGTAAGGTTAGGGTGGGGAACTGAGAAATGAGCAGTTCTATCTCTTATCCTTCATGACAAAATTTGTCTTGGCCAGAAGAATAGGGTGTTCTTGGTTCTACAAGTAGTTCTGACCCAACCAGAGGCAAAAAATACCAAAAAGGTTTAGGAAGTAGTTTCTTGATTTTGTCTCCATTCTGCTTTTATGGAGCAACTTAATGCCTGGAGGTTCTTTGTGATCGGATATTTCATTGGCCCTTGAAGGTGTGCCAGAAATTCCAGGCCAGACTCTGGGATTGAGAGGTACATGGGCACCTCTCAGTGGAACAAGTACACTACCAGTGTACCCCACCCCATACCTAAACCCAGGAACCCCTCATTAATCTTTAGTAGCTAATAGAAGTCCTAGGTGGCAACCTTTTTGGGGGACCTGCTAGGCCTATACCGAAGCCCTGCTTGGTTGGTTTCTCTTAAGTTCTCACCTATAATCAAACTCCTTTCTGAAAGTCCTCAATCTGTGAAATTCATTTTTGGGGTTCAGGAGATAAAGGTCAAGAAAGTCACTGGCCTGGGGTGGCTTTGGTGGCTGTTGATTGTCTAAAATTCTGACCTCCAAGTTCTGCTCACCTGATGTGAGAAAGCCTCCATCATACTAAAGGTTCTCCTCTCCTCTCTCCACACCATTTCACAAGGACTGCGCATACTGTTTGCACTGAAACAGCTGAGGCAGAGATTTTTGCCCTAAACATTGGGGCTCTGGATGTGGTCACTCCCAGACAATGACTTACACCCTTCCTAGCACCTATGAAGAACCAAAAAGAGAAGGGCTAAAGAAATGGCCCAAGAACCCTCCCTGTAGGAAGAGGCCAAGGACTAATGCTGTTTGTGAAGCCCAGGGCTGAAGAATGAGACTGGGAGGTAGAGGCCATTTCCATGCTGTGTGGTTCCCCACTGTGATCAGCAGGAACCACCCACCAGGCTTCCACTTTCACTATACCAGCCTACACAACAAAAAATCAGTGCAAGGAGTGGACACAGCAGTTGAAGGTCATTTCTGGAGCAATGTGGGTGATATAGTTACAGCCTTTGTGTTCACAAAGGCAGGAATGGAGAACTATACTGACCAATTCAGTACACTCATGCCAGAAACCCAATGAAAGAGGTAGTTCATTTAAACACCTCTGAGAAGATACATACCCTCAGTCTGGTTATATGAGTTTGAGCTCGAGTTGTAGATTGTAGCTCCCTGTCAGTTCAGTTTGTTACATGAAACATCATGAGGAAAGAAATAACGCAAGACTTGTATCAAGAAAGAATATGGATGGATGCAATACTATTTTAAAGTTAATGTCCTCCTATTATGCTTTGTCTTTTGTTATCGCTCATTTCTTTAATTTTAATTAAAGAGCTTTAATGTTCTCACTCTTAAATATGTCATTGGTCTTTCTCTGGCACCTACATCACTTGTTAGAGTTTGTAATTGTGTTGTGCACTCATCCATTCTGTCATGGATTCATGGTTTCTCCTGTGTGCAACCCATGTACCTTCCCTTTCATTACAGCCTCATGGCCTTTTATCTTCCCTCTGCCCTCCCTTTTTACTTCCCAGCTGTAATCTTCTACAGCTTTACAAGGGTTTGTACCTGGTGTCTTGCACACAAGGGTTTGTACCTGGTATATTACACACAAGGGTTTGTACCTAATATCTTGCACACAAGGATTTGTGCCTGGTGTCTTGCACACACATACTATCTAGCTATTGAACAGAATGCAACAACACTACTACAAACTAGCCCTACTTGAGTATTGTAAATCAATTTAACTGAAGTGATACAGCTAATAAAAACACCCAATCAATGCGATATCATGAGATATGCAAATCTCAACATAGAATTATAAGAAACACGAATAATCAAGGTATTATAACCTCTCCAAAAATATCAGTTTTCCAGAAATGGGTTCCAAAGACAAACAATCCCAGAGAAAGAATTCAAAACACTAATTATGAAAATATTTATGGAGACCTCCCCTTCCCTCTGGGACCCTAAAGCCATCTGAAGACTTATGCCAAGTCCCTTGCTTGCTGCACAGGTAGCCCTCACACCTACTTTCTTCTGAGACCCTAATGCTGCCATATGAAGACATGTATCAAGGACATGCTTACTCAAAGGGTAGCCCTCATTTCACCCTCCCTCTGGGACCATAATGCTGGCTGGCATCTGAGAACATGTGCCAAAATTGTTGCTGGCTCCACAAGTAGCCCCCACCCCTCCTTCTATAACCCTCATGCCACCCTCTGCACCATGTGCCTTCTTACCTCACAGTTCCGTTTACCCTTCGCCTCTTTTGACTCTAACCTCAACATCAGAGGGATTTCAGAGAGATTTGATCACTCTATGAAGTCCAACTTTGAGCATGCCAGAAGACAAGGAGAAAACATAAGTGTCAACAAACCATGTAGCAAAAATTCCTTGTTTATATGGGGAAAAAAAATAAAACTAGATTCTCAGTTAACACAGAACTTTTAATTACAGAACTTTTCCAAACATTAAGGACCTGAAAGTAAAACTGAAATTCAAAGCAGTGGGAGGAAACAGGAGAACATTCCCCCAGACACCCCGACCTTCCTCTTTCACCTGGCTCACCCACTTCTCCCATCATTGCACTGGACAATTTCCCTTCTCCTTTCATGTCACGTAATTTTATCTATCCCTGTGACACCCAGGAACTACAGATGAGAAAAAAAGATGTGATATTTGTCTTGTTAATCACGTTTAAATGTAAAAATGTTCATTTTATGTTTCTCAGTAATGAAATCTAGTAATAAGACCTTTGCTGGGCTGTGTTTTACTCTATTTGGAGTGTTTCTACCTCTTGAAGATCACAGGAATCTTCGCCTACATGTTCCTGAATCTTTCAGGAATTTGTTATACAATACTTTTGTCATTTTGGTTTTCAACTGATAAATTCTGTGACTATGGTGTCTTTATCAATGATGTAAACAGGTATTATATAGAATCATTTTCATTTCTAGTGTTTCCCTTTCTTAACAATTTGTGGTGCTACTTTTTCAGTACTTTGGCTTTCTAGAATTCCTATATTCTCTTACTGATAACTATTCCATTGATAAATCAGCCTACTTCCATTTTAAGCTTGAATCCATCTTATAGTAACAATAAACTAGATTAATCTCTGTTTATGATTAAATCTGTTTCTCAACCTGTAACCTGTAATCTGCCCAACCTGTAACCATAACTATAAATAGTTCTATACTGCCTGTTCCAGAAAATAGCAACCATGCCTTTTTCTCAAAAGGTTATTATGACAACCTTGTTATTACGATCTTGTTATAACCACATTGTTATGACCACCTTGCAACCATGCCTTTATTTCAGGAGATTGTTATAACCAACTTGTTATGCTTATGTTCTAATTCTATAACCCTGACTATTTGCCTGCCAAATCCCCCATTTGTGAAACCTCCTACCTCTGAGGTATAAAAGCCCTTATCTTCCACATTTCTACTGGACCTCTTGAACCCTACCTTTAGGGAGAGACAGCCTATGTATACAAATACAAATGCCTGCTTTAATTAATTTGGCTCTAATGATTTTTCCTCCAATCTGTGGGATTAGCACTATGCTTAATTCAACACTGATAAAAAATCTTTGCATTATGCTTATAAGCTGGTTGGGAGCTTGCAATTCTTAAATTTTGCAATATCAATTGGATTGTTTCTCCTTTTTTAAAAATTCAAATAAACTTCAAGATAAGCTTATGCTGCCTTTCTCCTCAAATATGCTCTGGGAATTGGATAATATTTCTAGCAATTTTACAAATGGATTTAGGAATGGAGTCTCTTGAACATGGCAAGGCTTTAATTATAGTTACTGGAAGCACAGAAATGGCTACAATCTGGCCTGGTAGATAGGTTTGGGAAGCAGGTAAATAGCAGATGTTTTCCTAGGAGACATCAGAGTTCTGCAATGCTTTCCTTGTTGCTTATATCTGGAACCTCAGGAAAAGAAGGCATGGGAAGGAGGCTTCTCTTCAGTGATTTGAATGCCTCTTCCCCATGCCAAACGCTTCACAGCTTGTCTCATCACAGCATTTGTAAAAGTGGTCTGAAAGCGGTGGTGCATCAATGAATTATTTAAGTTCTGCAGCCAAACATCCTGATCTGGCTTGGTGCTTCTTACTGCACTTTAAGTGAGCCCGTGGAGCGAGAGCAGAGTAGGCAGGAGGAGGGATTCAAACCAAGTTTTATTAGCCACAAGCAGCCGCACTATAACATTTATTAAGTATCAGAGACAGTGTGTTTAAATAAGTTTGATTCCTGAATAATCATCGATATTGTAGCCATTTTCTCAGGATAGGAACACTTCCTTGTCAAAAACATTTATTTTCTTGTCACTTCTGTTAATATAATGGGCTCTGGGGGTTTTGTGAGAGTTTCTTAGCACATTGTGATTCTCAACAAATTACTATGTGTCTTCCACTGAATACAGCGTTAATAGCCGGGGTGTGGGAGGAGAGGAAAGCCACACACATCATTGTCTGACAGTGTATCATCTTATTATCAGTGTCACATTTAGGAGTTTTAGCTGCCTTAGAGAATGAGGAGCCAGAACCCTCGTGTGTCCTAGGCAGCCCTTCCTTCAGGGATCAGTAAACCTCCCCAAGTCAGGCAAGCCCGAGGCTAATTCTTTTTCTCTTCAGGGACGAATCATCCCTTAAAACCAAATAATTTACATAGCGGTTGCCAACTTAGCCCTCTTTCTTTCTTTTCTTTTCTTTAATGCCAATGGAATAGAAGAGCCTCAAATTATTTCTGAATGGACACAACTGTAGCCTTACATCACCAGGGCAAGATGAGGATAGAGGTTTACCAGAGAAGTATACTGGATAATCAGGGTTATAAGTCTTTTTATTTTGGTTAAGTCAATCATTTTAATTCAAGAAAAAAAACCAGCAAAATTAAATATATCTAAGTACTCAATAAATACACAATAACAATATTTAATCAACTAAGGGCACACCTTTAATATTGTGAAATAAGCCTTATTCCTTTATAACCTGAGGCCACAGGTGGTGATTTGTGTGTGTGTGTGCGGGTATAGATATGTATATTTGGATGGCCACTTCAAGAAAGGAAGGAAGGGAAGGAGGGAGGAAGACAGGAGGAGGAGGAAGGGGAGAAAAGGAAGAAAGCAGAAAGAAGGGAGAGGGAGGCAGAAAGGAAGGAAGGGAAAGGAGGGTGGAAGAAGGGAGAGAAGGAGGAAGAGAGGAAGGGAGAAGGGGGAAGAGAAGGGACGTCCCAGTTTGCTTTCTGTGTTGTTATAAGCATCACAACCACAAAGAGCTTGAGAAAAATGTGCTTATTTCACTTTACAGTTCATCATGGAGGAAAGCCATGGCAAGGGTTCAAACAGGAACCAGGAGGCAGGAACAAAACAGAGACCATAGACGGATGTTGCTTAACCACTTCCTGAGCCTGTTTTCTTATACAAACTGCCTGCCCAGGAGTAGCACTGCCCAGGGAGCATGATGCCTGCCCACATCAACCATTCATTAAAAAAAAAAAATGCTTCACACACTTGCTTACAGGCCAGCCTGATGGAGGTAACTCTTCAACAGAGGTTTCCTCTTCCCAGGTGACTCAAGTTTATATGTCAAGTGGACAAAAACTAACAGAACAAGGAGGGGGGGATAGAAAAAGGAAGGAAGGAAGGACAAAAGTAGGAAAGGAAGAAAGGAAGGGCTGCATTTCTAATATTACTTGGGGAGGATCCTAGGACAAGCAACCAGTGTCATTGCATCTTCCCATCATATAACTGCAGAAGTGAACAGGCATTTTCCTCAGTAAGGTGTTAACCAATGTTGTGGCTGTCGACGGGTAAGGAGGTTGTATTTACTACTACTTTCTTCCTGCCAAGAGCATTCAAGTCTTTGAGTGGGATACAGGATCACTGTAAGATACTGATTTCCACTTGACAAAGGTTTGCTCATTCATTTGTGTAATTGGCTAATACCAAATCACTACTAGATGCTACGAATTCATCTTGCTTGAGGGACATTGTCAATGTAGAAGTTGGTTATGTACTGAGAGCTAAGCAAGAAAAGAAAATTTATGTTACAGGCAATACTACTCATAACATGGGTATGGGAAACTAGTTATGGAGCCTACAGGTGGGACATTGACCTAGTCTTGACAGAGATGAGGCACTAAGGAAAGCCTGGAAAAGTCTTCCATAAGAAACGCACTCTGAACTGAGAATCTCAATGTTGAATGTGATGGTTGAGCTGTGTTGACCACTTGATTGGATTTATAATCACCTCGGAGACCCATGTGTTTGGATGTGTGTATGAGGGTGCTTCTAGAGATACAACTGAAGAGAAAGACTCACCCTGAGTGTGGTTAGTACTATCTCATGGGCTGCAGGGAGAAGAAAAGAAGTGAGCTGAGTTCCAAGGGAGCTGTGCACCAGCATGCACTCCTCTTTGTTTCCTCATTTAAGACACCATGAAAGCCACCACCTGCTGTCATTTTTGCCATGATGGTTTGTGCACTCAATGTGTTTCTTCCCTTCAGAGGCTTCTGTCGTATATTTGCAGTAACAATAAAAGAGTAAATAAGGTACCAAGCAATGGTAGTTCAACAGCAGTAAAAACTTCGTGTACAGTGACTTTCCATTGCTACAAACAAGCACCCAATAAGAAGAAACTTTAGTGAGAAGGGGTTTATTTTGGCTTACTATTTGGGGGATGCAGTCCATTATGATGGGGAAGGTGTGGTGACATGGAACTTGACAAGGACAGGAGGCAGCTGGTCACAATGTGCCCACAGTCAAGAAACAAAAAAGAGTAGTTGATATTCCAGTTTCAGTTAATCCAATAGAGAAACTTCCCCACAGACATTCCCAGAGGCATATGACCTCAGTGATTCTGCATCTTGTTGAGCTGACAATCAGATTTAACCACCTCATTATACAGAATCACAGGAATAAGAGACAACGTGGAGTGTTTGAATAAATCTAGAATAATTACATATATTTGAAACTCAGAGGTGTAAAAATGAGGGTGGAGATGAAAACACATGCTGTTCTTAAAATTAATATGTCACATTAAAGACAAATCAGTGTGGAGAACTCTTGAAAACTAAAAGTAGATCTACCATCTGACCTAGCTATCCTACTCCTTAGCGTATACCTCAGAGATGTGACATGACACTCAGTCATTCACAATAGCTGGGAAATGCAAACAACTGAAATGTCCTTCAACTGATAAATGGGATAATGAAAATGTGGTCCATTTACACAATGGAATTCTGTTCAGCTGTGAAGAAAAATGGAGACATGAAAGCCACAGGTAAGTGGGTGGATCTAGAAAATATTATACC